CCCAGAAAATAAAGGAGTTTAAACTGTTTAAGTTCCCAAGGACACAGAGGGAAAAACTTTACAACCCTGATCTCCAAAATAGAAGTAAAGCCACAGACTTTCCGTGGTACGGTTCGTATTTCAGTATCAAATAAAAGAAACAACTCTAGAGTTACAGAGAGGAAAAAAAAGAGAGGGTTGGGGAGTGCTTATTATTTGAGCTGTGGTTCCTATAAGGGACTTTCTCACCCCTTAAAGAAGAACTTGAGCTGTTCTGCACCCTTAGCAAAAGAACAAATGTTTCGGTGCCCAAGAGAGGCTGCATTGAGGCAGAGGAATGGGAAGGTTCTGGGGTCAGAACACAGCAACCCACTGTAGCCAGAAGCAAACACGAGCCCTGGTTTCTCCTCCCAAGGCTCTGCATGGTGAAGAGAACACAAAACATCATCCCCATCCCTAAAACAGGCAAGAACTTACCAAGTGAACACAGCCGAAGCACGCTGCGTGTATTTTACTATAGGAACCTCACAGACCTTTTATATTGAGTATTTTAAATAGATACGTTTTGTTTTTTCCATTTGCTTTACGTTTTCTTACCTCTCCTAATGCATTTCGTGCATCAAAGCAGCTTAGGGTCAGAGGGGCTCTGGGTAGAAGCAATATAGCTGATAAAAATGTCAGTGGTGAGATATGACAAATTTATAGTAAATACCTGTCAACTGCTATTTATCTAAATTATCCAGCTCTGGGATTCTCCACAAATACTCCATCAGCTGCGAGGCAGCTCCACTTCTACACCCGTATTTACATCAGAATCTGCTCCTTTTTTTTCTTGTTGTCGGTGGGGTTTTTTTTTGGTTTTTTTTTGGACACTTGTTCTTTACCCTAAAATGACCCCTTTGTAGCTCGGATCAAAGAGCTGGGAGCGTCAATACCGGTGTCTTCACCAACATGTGAAGAACCTCAAAGTAATTGGTTACCAATTAGCATAAACCTTTACAAGAGAAAAACACCTCGCTGAGACGAATCCTGAGCGCTACCAGGCAGCAGCACGGGCTGAAGCAGGAGCTCCAGTGACCTGAATCACTTTCATCTGCCCCACAGACAACTGCTTGGGAGCGCCCTGCCTGCAAATTATCCTCCCTTTCTCACCTTTCTTTCTTTCTGTTCTAATTCCTTTCTGCTCTCCGTTCGCTCTTTGCTTTCTGACTCGCTGCAGCTTATGGGAAACATGAAACAAAAACTGCTTTTCATTTCATGTTATGTAAAGCAAAGCAATTCCATGTCTTGGCCTTGAAATACAAGGCTCCCAACAGCTGTTCAGATGCTCCAGCAGATAAACCATCTGGCCCAAACCTCACCTTTCCTAATTTATTTTGGATATCGATCAAAGCAACCTGAGCATTACATAGACTTTCGTCAAAGACAACATAAAAGATAAAAACGTCAATGGCAAAATCGCTTCACTGAAATCTCCTTGTTTTCTTCTTTATATAATAACATTACCATTTTTCAACAAACTTCTCTATTAACTCAAAGAGAAGATGTACCTGATACAAACAGCCCAGCAGTCTCACCGCCCTTCAGATGAATGTCCTCAAATAGCTCATTGCTGCTCTACCGAAACCAAAGGGGTTTTTGGCACTCAACCCCAGCTAAAAGCAGAGCCAACCTTGTCCATGGAGCCCCCACTGTGCACTCTGACCTTGCTGCCTCACTCTGTTACTTCTTCATACAGTGTTCCTGGCTTCTGAAGGACCACCATATCCATGGTCTGATTTTTGGGTGGTCCTATGTGGAGCCAGGAGTTGGGCTCAATGATCCTTATGGGTCTCTTCCAACTTGGGACATTCATAGAATCATAGAATGGCTTGGGTTGGAAGGGACCTCAAGGATGATGAAGCTCCAACCCCCCTGCTACACACAGGGCCACCAACCTCCACATTTCATAGCAGCCCAGGATGCCCAGGGCCCCATCCAACCTGGCCTTGAACACCTCCAGGGATGGATGGGGCATCCACAGCCTCTCTGGGCAGCTGTTCCAGCACCTCACCACTCTCATAGGAAAGAACTTAGGACATTCTATGGTCCCATGACCCCTATGGGTCTCTTTCAACTTGGGACATTCTATGATTCCATGTCCCCTATGGGTCTCTTTCACATTCTATGATCCCATGATCCTTATGGTTTTCTTTCAATTTGGGACATTCTATGATTCCATAAACCTTATGGGTCTCTTCTAATTCAGAATACTCAATGATCCTACAGTTCCAGTTCACAGCTTTCTCCAGGTACTTTTGCTTGTTTTTTTTTTTTGTTTTGTTTTACTCTTCCTAATAAAAGGATGTTGTACATTTTTCAATACTACCAGGATGCCCACTGAAATACAAAGCTGCTGAATGGCCAGTGACTCAGACCAACGTGAAACTTCACCTGTAAAGCCTTATTTCATGCAATTCAATGTACGTTTGTCACATAAGGAGATCACAGTCTGGGTAAGAACTTGTTGTTTCGGGACAAAACTCCAAATCTGACACGACAGTCAAGAAATCAAAGGGCTAACTGCAATCACTACGCATAGCTGAACGAAGCAACAAAAGCTTATCCAGCAAACACAAAGGACACACGCACTCCTGCGATGTTTTGTTCCATCACTCCAAGCATTCAAAGCCTCCCCTACGCCCATGTGTTCCTCAGGACAACGTCTCCAGGCCCATTTCCCACACGACACGGGATCGCCGATGAATGGCCCCATAAAGCATCCCACCGGGGCCCGTCCTGCCGCGCCAAGGCCCAGCTCTCCATTAACCACCGCCTGACCCTTGTTCACTTTCTTTCCCCCTCCTCTGCCCTTCCTGAGAAAGTTCAGCGCTTCCTGGAAAAGTCTCGCTGCCGTTTGATATTGTACTTCGCCTTGGTTGCTGAAGGAAGGATTTACAGGTGCCTGGCCCCGTCTGTAAGACCATGACCGAAGGCTGACCTCGCCTTACAATATGTGAACTTCTGCCCTGCTGATAAGGCTGGCAGATATGAGTAGGATTTTTCAAATAATCCTTTGGGAATTTATAAGCAGCACAGCCATAAAACCGAGGTGACTGGAAGGTCGATTTCACTAAAAATAATAAATATCTCAATGTTTATTCAACGTGGGCCTTTTTAACTGCAGGCCAAGCATTTAGATAACGCTATTGTAAATGACAAATATTAGGATTTTTTGGTAACTATTACATTATGATCCTTCCGTCTGACACTGATGTGGTCGTTTCCCTCGACGCTCGCTGGATCTTTGGCATTGTTCAGCTCAAGTTGGGCCTAGAAAGTCAGCTCAGGCTTTGAGCACAGGTCAGAAAAAGGGCAACTTTCTTTTCGGGAGGCTTTCCTAGGGGGGTTCGCATCGTTCTGCTCCTATCTCACCAGCACACCTTTTCTCTCTGCTCATTGCTTTTGGCTGAAATAGGAGAGGGAGAAGAAGGACCGAAGGATCTCAGTGCAGGAGGAGATGACCCAACTCAGAGGGTGGTGAGGCACTGGAACAGGTTGCCCAAGGAGGCTGTGGATGCCCCATCCCTGGAGGCATTCAAGGCCAGGCTGGATGTGGCAGCCCGGTCTGCTGGTTGGTGACTCTGCACATAGCAGTGGGTTGAAACTAGATGGTCACTGAGATCATTTTCAACCCAGGCCATGCTATGATTCTATGATCTGCTGCAGAGCATTGGCCACAATGCCTGGCTTTCCTTCGTACGCTCTGGAGAGCTGCACAACTAATCGCCTTCCAAGGCAATAAGCAAAGGAACGAGGTGGAGAAACAACAAAATTCCAGTGACACCCTGAGCCCCAAGCCTACAACACTGCGTAAACGTGAACCTTTCCAATGCACAAAACTGCTACATCCAACAATGAGAATTCCTCATCCTTCCCATAACAGCATTATGTATAATTACCCAGGCATATACCCTTGCATTAACAACAAAAAAAAACCCAACCTGTAAGCTACACAAATAGGATTCCTAAGGCTGTTTTCATTATACATAGACTTCACTGAAGTTTCTCCAAATAAAGTGACACTTTGAAAGGCACAAAGCATTTCAGCCCAGTTGTAATCTTCAATTAGCACACTCCCTGCACCGGGCTTCCAGTGCCGGCTCTGAGTGGGAGCCTTTGTCCAAGATAAACAGAGTAACACATTTTGGGTAGGTTAACTTATTCATTCCGCTACAGAATCACGGCCATGAAGCCAAATTACATAATTATTAACAGATGAAGGCACAAAAAAGATTTTACATAAATGTTTTTTATGACAATTCTTTTCCTTTTGCAAATTCGTTTGTATGTCTTGCTGGAGAGCCTGTCTTTCAGAAGTGCCTCTAAAAACAATGCTCTCTCAAGCCTGGCTCCACTGAGGAAGGGGAGGAAAGCTGCTAACAGAGCTGTGCTTTCATGTGCTGCCTGGCTTCCCATTGCCCAGCTGCAGGAGAGAGCCTCGGAGAGCTCAGCAGAAGACATTACCAGCATTAAGGAACAGATGCAAATATCACAGGTTTAGGGGTCGGGAGATTTGTATGCTGCAAGATTCAAACACTGCCAAAGGTGTGCTGAAAATTAAAAGTCAAGGTGCAAGCTACAAAGGTCACCTTATCACAGAATGGCTTGGCCAGCAACCAAATGCAAGCACAGAGCACCTCCAGTCCAGCCACGTTTTCCAGTGCATGTAAAGGAGAAAAAGCCCAACTGTTGGGAAACTGGATGTGGTACAGTGACACTGGGGTTTGGTTGGACAGCAGCAAGCATAACTCTAGCAAACTTCTCCAAAGTACTACAAATAAGATCTCTAAAATCATTTCTCCCCTCAACCTCTCAATTTGCACTGAATAACGAAGTTACTGCAGTCAGAGGAGAGTTCTTTCAGGATGAAAATCTGTGCCAAAAGTAGAAGCACTGGGCTTACAAACCCAAGGACTGCAGCAGTGGGAGAAAATATCTCCTTATGTTTCAGCAGGCTGCCAGCAGCAGGGCTCACTCACCAGCACGGTGTAGATGTGCAGGCAGCGGTACACGGGTGAGAAGTCCACCAGCTCCTGGGCCCCAGGCACCTGGAAGAGAGGAGGAGGTCAGCACGAGGTGCAGGTCAACCCACCCCACTGAGATCAGTGCAGCTCAAAAGTCTGCACTGAGAGATGAGGCTGAGAGATGCACTGAGATTTCAGGGCTGCACTCACAGCAATTATTGACACCTGTCTACATATCTGCACGTACAATTCTAAAAGTTTCTCAGACTAGAAAACCATCACTGAATATTACTTTTGCTCCATTTGAGTTTCCCTCTGAAATCACATTCATCCTTTTGTTAACCAGCTCAGCAGAGATTTAATTTTGACCATAAGCTTCAATACAAGTTTAAGCATCCTTGGCACCCATGCAACATAACAACAACAGCCTTTTTCTATATTTTTAGTTTGATTTCTTCAAAAGCACGAATTCTTCTTTTTCTTTTTGAGAGAATAAGACACACAGACTCCAGCACCTTTCAACAGCAGTAGTGAGCCTCTCGTAGGGACAAGGAAGCACAATTTGGAAGGGTGGGACAGAAGGAGAGAGGGTAAGAGGAAGATCACAGGGGAAATTTGCATACAAGAAGCTTCTGTCCTTTGGATATGTTGAAGCCAACACAGCATTAAGCTTTTTGGCCAAGGCATAAAGCTAAAGCAACCCTCCTTCTCCCCCAAAATCCAGAGAGGAAGGGAGTGTTCTGTTGACACGCGGTGGAAAAAAAAAGGAGAAAGATGAAAGGGACCAATGGACAGGCCTGGGAAACATGTTTATTTTTAATTATGCTTAAGAGGCATTTTGCTCAAAAGGAGGTAGGATGGAGCAGGGAGAAGGCTGTGGCTGGATGAGGGCATGCCAATCTCCAATCTCCACCAGCGCTGCCCAAAGCACCTGGGGTGAGCTGGCCTCTTCTGCAGCAATGGCTTTGGGTAGGGGAGTGCAGAACGGGTTTGGAAAGGGAAATTTGGGGATTTTTTTTAGAGCACTTCTGGTTGAGGAATCCTAGAGTGCAAAACCTCCAGAGATGGCTACAAGAAGGAGAGGGATGCCAGGACACACTGGGCTCGATCATCCCAAGTGACCACCACCAGCACTGGGAGCTGCATGGGGTGGATCTGAGAGCTCCCTGTGCTCCTCTAAGGAGGGTAGATCTGTCATCTCCTCCCACCACCATCACAGCAGGAGATGTTTTCCTATCAAGATGAATTCAGGATCAGACGGTTTTGGTCCTCTCGGATTTGGGGCATTAGCTGAACGCAGCCCACAGAAAAATATTTCTGATAAAGATTCATGAAATCGGGTTATTGCCAAAAATGGAGCTCACTCCTCCAGAGAAATTCTTTCAAACCAGACTGCAACATTTTCACAGTCTCTGATCTTCTGTAAAAGCTTTTAAGCCCACACACATGCTCACAAAAAAATACGCTGGACGTTCCTGCAGACTTAATATCTGAGACATCAATAATTTTAATATTGCTAATCCACTTAGAAGGCTCCCAGACACGGCTGCGTGCAAAATCAGAAATGCACTCATGAGAAAATGAGCACCCAAACTTTGTGCTGAGATTCTACCCACGAAGTTTGAAGGAGCATCCTGTCCACATCCAGCCCCACAGCAGCAGTGACAGTGTGCCACTGGAACCCATTTCAGCCTCTGCAGGCATCCCCATTCATTGCAGGCAGTGAGACCAGATGGCCATTAAGGTCCCTTCCAACTCAAACCATTCTATGAATTCATGACCAATGCAGAACTCAGGCAGTTTCAGCACATCGGGCAGTAAGAGCTGCTTTCTAAGGCAAAAGGAAGGCACATAAATGGTTTTTCAAACAGGAATCCACTTTCCCAGATGGAATCTCATGCAACTTTCCCCATACCCCAACACAAGGGAAACACGGGCATCCTTCAGGCTGAGCACTTCCCCTTTAGCACCTATTTGAGTTTCTTCCCCAAAGCTGCACTGCCAGCATTCAAAAACAGAAATAAACCTCAACAGAACCGATTACTCCTCCGACATCTCCACTTCTGCCTAATCTTTTTTTTTTTTTTTTTCCCTTTTAGTTCGCAGAACAAAGAGTTTATTCATTTTGTCCAGAGTTCTCCTGTTCCGCAGACCTCGTTCCCAAACCCCGCGTTCGGCACGCTCACGGTACAGAGCTGTCAGCCTCTGCAAACAGCCCAACCCCTGCTTTCTGCAGGAGCACTTTCAGTTGGGTTCAATGCTGACTGTAGAAAATTTAACCCATTACAGCCAAGTTTTCAGTGTAAATGTTCATCTGCAGCTGACACGGTCACAACCATGTCCCAGAGGTGGCTTGGTGGATGCCCCATCCCTAGAAATACAGCTGGACACGGCTCTGAGCAACTGACAGAGTTGTAGCTGTTCCTGTTCACTGCAGGGGAGCTGGACCAGATGGCCTTTAAGGGTCCTTTTCAACACCAATTGATTCAATAATGATTCTACGATGTCTCTGATGAGAGATGCTCCAGTCTGGTTCTATACAAATTTGCAATACAGTGGCTCTAATCTCTCTGATCCTTGCTACTTTCTGATGTAATGACATGACACAAGCATAGATACGTTTGCTCCTATTTCATTAGGAAAGAAAAAAACACTTTGAAACACCAGGATTCATGAGCCACAAACACTGGTTAGTGATCTGTCCCTTGGACCCATTAACCCAAGTACATGGGCTCACTGGTGCAGAATCAGAGAATCATAAAATGGCTTTGGTTGGAAGGGACCTCAAGGATCGTGAAGCTTCAATCCTCCACCACATGCAGGGCCACCAACCTCCCCATTTCCTACCAGCCCAGGCTGCCCAGGCCCCATCCAACCTGGCCTTGAACACCTCCAGGGATGGACAGGGCATCCACAGCCTCTCTGGGCAGCTGTTCCAGCACCTCACCACTCTCTCTGTAAAGAACTTCCCCCTGACATCCAACCTCAATCTTCCCTCCCTCAACTTCAAACCATTTCCCCTTGTCCTGCTGTCACTCACCCTTTCAAAGAGTTGATTCCCCTCCTGTTTGTAGGCTCCCTTTAGGTACTGAAGGCTGCAATGATTCACCCCGCAGCCTTCTTTTCTCCAGGCTGAACAAGCCCAGCTCCCTCAGCCTGTCTTCGTAGGGGAGGTGCTGCAGTCCCCTGATCATCTTTGCAATGAACGCATGCACACACAATACTGCAGCTACAAGTCCAGTCATGACATTTGGCACCCTGGCTCTCTTCACATGGTACAGACATTGGAAAAGACCTCTAAGCTCACCAAGCCCAATCCACCCCACCATGCCCACTGACCACGTCCCTCAGTGCCACATCTCCACAGTTCTGGAACATCTCCAGGGATGGTGACCCCACCACTCCCTGGGCAGCTGTGCCAGTGCCTGACCAACATTCAGAATGTGTTCACTTCACAAAATAAGCCCCTACTGCTGAAAGAAGCATTGATTTTGTATAACTTCAATAAACCTCATCTTATCTCTCTGGGTACCAGCAGCCTGGGAGTTGTTGGAAGATGCTCAGAGCACTGCAGTACTGGAAGCAGCCGCATCGTCCTGCAGACTGATCTCACTCTGACTGACATTGGAGACAGCAGGCAGACAGCTTCGTCTGGAAACAAAAAGTTTTCTCTCCATGTCCAAGATGTGCTTTTTTTTTGTGGAATTACTACTGAGAGCAAGCAGAAAGTGGAGGGTGATGGCACCCAACACAGCCATTTATGAGGAAAAGCCGAGAGCGCCTCTCTGGTGTCCCACTTCTAGCTCCCTAAGCTGCCATCAATCTCTTACGTTCACCTAGAGAATTACAACACTCCTACAGCCAGGTCAACCTGAAAGAATGCCAGAAGTATGATGAGTTTTCACTACACCTCACACCTGCTGATGTCCTCAGTGCCGAACTCCCTCTCCAAACAGAAAACCATCTGGAATTTGTTGATTTGTTCTTCAGTGAGAGATGAGGGGCTGTTACTCTTTCCTTACATCCTTCCCTCTCCCACAGAGGAGAACCAGGAGGTCCATTCCCACCCAACCACGTCACAAACGGCTGGCCAGACTTCTGGGGAACAAGAAGAAATGAGGGAGAATGCAGGCGAGCTTTGTCGTGATGTATTCAACGGGATGGCAAAAGAAAAATCACTGGAAACGAGAAGAATCTGGATGAGCTTTGTAGTAAAAAGCATCCAGAACACTACAAAGGGAGCAGCTGGCACACACAGAGCAGGCCGTGGAGCTGCTCAGTATGAAACACTGATCCTCCTCCTACCACTTGACATTCATAAAAACTGAACTCAAAGTCATCTCCCAGCTCGCTTTACAGCTGTGCCCACGCTCTTGCTCTCATTACAGTGGGAGCTTCCACCACAGTGAAGCATTTGTCTGGACTACGATGTCTCCAGAGTGCAGAACTCTAATGGAGTGGGGAACCACGCCTCACAATGGTCCTCTTGAATGTAGCTGGCACAGCTCCCCATTGCTGCCCAAGAGAGAAAATGATCTACATAAAAAATAAATGCAACAGTAGAAGCAAAACTCTTCTGCTCTTCTGCTCCTTTCAAAGCTTCTCTTGTTAATTCTGGATGAATGGGGGGAGGAACTGAGAGATCTCTGGATAAGTTCATCCATCCTTGATGGATAACTCTGTATCGCAGCCTGCTGAAGGGCTCAGGTATTTCCCAGAGATTAAAAGGATTGTATTTAACCCACTTTTTGCAGATTCAGCCAGGGAGTGGGATCAGAAGGTCTCTCCTGCCAAACACTTCATAAGAACCACCTCCGAGTATCATTCTGTTTTCAGCTCTGAGTAGGACTGGGGGCACGAACCCTTCATTCCTCCTTCCCAGATTCACCCACCACTGGCTGTCCTCCAAACAGAAGTATCAAGCTTTGCCTTAGCAGTACTCTGCCTCTTTGTCACTACACAGAGGAGAGAATTGGAAGGAGCAGAGGTCAAGCTACCAGTTGAAAAGGTGGGAATAAGCATTAGCCATGGAAAACAATATTGATGTTGCCATGTCACTGCCAGAAACCTCACCAAAGAGTTTAGCATTAACAGTGTACACCTGTACCAATTTGAGCTAGGATTAAGAGAATTACTGACCCACCCAGCAGCAGTGCCCTCCCTGCTTCTCACTGTGCTCTTACTGAGTAGGCTGGGAGGGAATACAGCTGTGATACTAAACCCAAACTGACAAAAGAGACATTCCATACATCGTGCTCAGCAATGAAATATTGGGGAAATTTGTGGATTGTTTTGTTTTGCTTCCCCAGAAGATGTCCACTGCTTGGAGACCAGCTGGGCATCCATCTGTTGGCGGGATGTGGGCAGTGATTGAGTCTGCACCAACAACAGGGTTTCTTTTCTCCCTTTGCTTATTAAGCCACCTATACAATCAGCCCACGAGTTCTCTCACTTCTGTCCCTTAGACCTCATTCAACCTACTGAAGGTGAAAAGAGGGAGTAGGTGAGCAGCTGGGGAGGGTTCTCAGCTGCCGGCTGAAGTCAGTCTCAGTTATAACACATATACTGATCCCTTAGATTTAACAACTCTATTACTAGACGACAGAATCACAGAATGGCCAGAATAGAAAGAGTTGGAAGGGACCTCAAACCTCCACATTTAATACCACACCAGGCTGCTCAGGGCCACAAACAACCTAGCCTTGAACACCACCAGGGATGGACAGGGCATCCACAACCTCTCTGGGCAGCTGTTCCACTGTTCCAGCACCTCACCACTCTCTCTGTACAACTTCCCCCTGATGTCCAACCTAAATCTTCCTTCCCTCAACTTCAAACCATTTCCCCTTGTCCTGCTGTTATCTACCCTTTCAAAGAGTTGATCCCCCTCCTATTTGTAGGCTCCCTTTAGGTACTGAAGGCTGCAATGAGGTCACCCCGCAGCCTTCTTTTCTCCAGGCTGAACTCAGCCTGTCTTTGTAGTGGAGGTGCTCCAGTCCCCTGATCATTTTTGTGACCTCTCTGAACCCTCTCCAGCATCTCCCTGTCTTTCTTGTACTGGGGGCCCCAGACTGCCATCCGTTTGTACTAAAAAAGGAAAAATAAATGGAAGAAGACGATGGAGGGTTGAAGATGACGACAGGGGAGGGGGGAGAAGACAATGATGGAGGCGGAGAAGAAGCAGAAAAAAGACAAAGAAAAAAAAAAGAGAAAAATGTGAGAGGGAAAAAAAAAAAAACAGAATAAAGAAAACAAAAACAAAAAAGCAGAAAAACAAAATAAATAAATAAGAAAACCAACAACCGAAGAAAAACCCATAAAATAAAACAAAATAGCTCTCTTTCCAGAGAAAAGAAACCCCGGAGGGCAAGGAGTTTGGGGAAGCGCCGCAGCGGGACCCGCCCGCCCCGTTTCATCACCACGGACAGCGGCCGCTGCCGGGCAGCTGCGGGCAGAGCTCACAGCGCCGGGAATGGGGAGATGCTCCTCAATTGGGAGATGCTCCTCAATTAAAGGGTTATTGCACTGTGCTGCACGAATTGCGGTATTCATCTCCCCTCCTTGGTACTTACACCGTCCAGTGGAACACACGGGATCTGAGCTGTACTACAGGCTTCGTTCCCTGTTAGGAAGCGGTGATCTCAGATGGAAAGAACCCAACAAAACAAACTTGGGAAAGGGAGCCCTGAGCATGGAACTGTGGCACAGATGAGGGAAAGGACCTCGACAAGCTGAGCAGTGGGCACAGAACCTCATGAGGTTCTACAAGGCTGAGCACAAGGTCTGCACCTGGGCTGCTGCAAGCTCCGCTATCAGCACAAGTTGGGGATTGTGAGGACGGAGCACAGCCCTGCCAAAAAGGACCCGGGGGTACCGGTGGATAGGAAGCTGGATATGAGCCAGCAATGTGTCCCCACAGCACAGAGAGTCAACTGCATCCTGGGCTGCATCCAAAGCAGAACAGCCAGCAGGGCAGGAAGGTGATCCTGCCTCTCTATTCTGTGCTGGTAAGGCCTCACCTGGAGTACTGCATCCAGATGTGGAATCCTCAGCACGGGAGGAATACAGAACTGTTGGAGTGTGATCAGAGGAGGGCCACAAAAATGATCCCAGGGATGGAACACCTCTCTTACCACCTCTTACTCAGGACAGGCTGAGAGCTGGGGCTGTGCAGCCTGGAGAAGAGAGAGCTCTGGGGAGCTGAGAGCAGCCTTCAGTATCTAAACGGGCTGTAAAAAGGAAGGGGACAAACTCTGTAGCAGGGTCTGTTATGACAGGACATGGGGAAACCATTTCAAACTAAAAGAGGGGAGATTTAGACTGGATATAAGGGGAAAGTTTTTTGCACTAAGGGCAGTGAGGCATTGGCACAGGTGACCCAGAGAGGTGGTGCCACTTGGAGACACCCAAGGTCAGGCTGAATGGGGCTCAGAGCACCTGATGGAGCTGTGGATGTCCCTGTTCGTTGCAGGAAGTGGGACCAGATGCCCTTTAAAGGCCCCTTCCAACTCCAGTTCTACAGTTCTACTACAAGAAATCACTGTTAAAGAAAGGGCCAGCAACAGAACCACATCAGGAACTACAATTGCATCTACAAAAATTCTGTCCTAATGAAACTCGTCTCAGCATAAAGCATGCATCTGCTACAAGACACACTGCACAGAAGAAGCTCAGTATCAATATCCTGCGTGCTGTGCAGGAATTTATCTGCTTTGAAAGGCCACAGAGCTGCAGGACTGAAGGCAGGAGCTGCTCTGCTCTTCTACCACATTAAGCATCTTTGCTGAGCCTGCTAACAAGGACAGAAGTGCAAAATGACCCAACTCAGAAAGGCTCCACTGTCTGCTCAGCATCTTTATGGCGTGCTGCAAAGGAGCACGAAACACTGAGTGAGGTGTGAGCACCGAGACACAGCTTATCACCCCAAGCTGCCCAATAGCCTGAGTTCGATGGCATCCAGTTACCTCTTCATCCTCCTCCTCATCTTCAACATCCAGGATACCCGAATCCTGCTCAGACATGGGGCTAGTGTTCTTTACCTCCAAATCTGAGCCTGCGCAGGCTTCTTTCTTGGACTTCTTCCCCCCGCTTATCCTGGGGTGCTGCGATACAATATTGTCCAGGTTTCTTTGCTGCTGTGCCTAGAAAAAAAGCAGATTTCAAGCTTTACGACAGCATCCTCGGATGTATTTTTTTGGCCAAAAGATGCAATCAGTCACGAAATACGACAAATGAGACAAAATAAAACACACACACTTAATGGAACTTTGAAATGTTATGTTTTTCCAAACCCAGATATTCCAAAGAAACAGAAGATTCATTTCAAAACCATTCCAGGGATTATGCAACAATACAAACAATATTCTGACTCTTCACAAATCAAAATGCCAAACCCATCGTACTGCCATATTGATCTATTTACAGCACAGACGCAGAAATATTAGCCCATAGGCCATGTGGTGACTGTCACAGGCTAAATTAAAGGACCTACTTAACCGTTGGATTTGTTCCTCTTTTCAACCCGTGTCAGCACAAAACATTCCACATCTGGACCCCAGAGGTTCCTGAAAGCATTTTTGTGGTACCCCAGGAGATCTTAATTGCGGCGTTGCTGATTTACAGAACGATCTGTGCAAGGTATTCAACCAGGATGCTCGGCCTGGGAGGAAGCCACGTGGAGCAAAGGATGCGGCCCCAGTGCAGCTCCCTCAGCCCTGGGTTCCCTTTGCAGCAGAGAGCAGTGCGTGCAAGTTGCAGCAGAAGCTTTCTTGGCTTCTAAGAGGAAAAATCATTTAGCCCCAATTGCCCAAGAGCTGAAAATGAGCTTTGAGCTGGAGCACAAGGAGAGGCAATGGCAGTGCTGGAGACCTCCAAGATCAGGCTGGACACCATGGAGAGCACAAACCTTCAAAATGATTTCCTTGTCAACGCTTACCAAGGATTCACATCCCACAAAAAGAATTTCTGAGTGAGTTTTAATTGCACAGCCTCTCTCAGCTCAGCTCCCTTTCGAATCCCTCCCTGGGAAGAAACACCCCAGAGACAGATCACTGGTGTAGATCTGAAGAATATTAAGACCGAAAAAATCTCTCCATCCCTACAAAACCCACCGGGCTGCAAGGCAAAGCCCACCTTGCACACATCTGCACACACAACCAGCTTCACCATAGCTGCAATGATTGCAAAACTGAACATGTAAGTGACACGGACTGTGGCTGCAGTAGGGTTGGAGCGATGGAACGGAGCGCCGTGCAACAGCCCAATCTTGACCTCTAGTGGTTGGAACGATGTAGGATCTCTGCAAGTGCTGCCGTTAGGAGAGCAGTAAGGGCTAAGCAAGGGGACTACCAAAAAGGCCTCTTTGGGAAGATCTCTTAAGGGAGGAGTCTCAACAGTAAGGATTTTTTCCAGCAAAGCCAAAAAGGACAAGGTCTGTGTTAGCACTGCTCAAGACAAATTTTGCTAGCAATGCCAATACTTGAAGCAATTGGGGAAAAGTGGCCTTTTTTGCATTAGAAATCTCTAACTTCAGAGACAGCGCTCTATAGAAAGGCATTGCAACACCATATAAAGGGAATTAGGACTTCAAAAAGGGGAGTGAGCTCTTGGTCCTTCTGAAGCCCACACAACAAAGAGGTCCGAGCTCAGCTCTCCTCTCAGATACACCCACTAATGACATAAGTTACTCAACCAAAGTGTACTGAAGTTATAATGTTGGATCCACTGTAAATCACACCAAAAGCAAGCTCAGCATACTCTTTAAATTCGCTCAAATTTATGTAATCTTTTCTTTTTTTTCTTCCCCCTCTAAAAAGAGAAGGAAAAAGAATGGGAAAATGAGAGTTTTACATCAAACATTGAGCTTCATACAGATCATTAACAGGGTGTAGGCAGATCACAGGATGAGAAGTGGTCATGGGAGAAGAACAAGCTGGACTAGCAAGCAGAAGGACACAGTTCTTGGCTTCAACCTTCAATGCCCAAACCACGAGCATGTAACACTCAGTGTTTAGGCTGAGCATGGAATTAAGTCTCCCCAGAGGACCCTGCAAATATCTTTGGGAAGCACAGCGCCTTGCCACCCAATGGCTTTCCAAAGCCTTTCCAAACACGAGGTGTTACTACATGAATACAGGAACAGGAGCTGCGGGCGTTCATTGCAGAGAGTGGGACCAGATGGCCTTTAAGGGTCCCTTCCAACTCAAACCATCCTATTCAAGGCCATGTTGGATGGGCCTGGTCTGGTATTAAATGTGGAGGTTGGTGGTCCTGCATGTGGAGGGGGGGGTTGGAACTTCATGATCCTTGAGGTCCCTTCCAACCCAAGCCATTCTATGACTCTGTGATTCTAGGATTTAAGGTCCCTTCCAACCAAAGCCATCCCATGATTCCTTCAGCCATGCTCACAGGAGGTGCACACGGCAGCACATAATGCCTACGGATGGGTAGAATTCATTTGAAGAATGAAAAGCAAGAAAGCCTGCCCTAGGAAAAGTCATTGCTCCAACTCAAGGAGTTCAACGTCTCAAACAAAGGCCACGTTTTGCATTTTGCATTGTTTTAATTTTGTTCATGAACTGAAGCTCACAAAGAGAAGAATTCTGACAGGATTCCAAGTCCACAGCAGGGAAAACAAAAGTGTGTGTGCAACCTCCTGAGGCATTAAAGAACCCAGAGGGACTCCCAGTGCCCTCAGAGCTCTCCAGCCCACCAAAAACAATTTCAGTTTGGGGAATTTGGAAAAGTCCTGTGTGAGAAGAGGTTTCCCAGTAGTTTTAAGCCTGATCACTGAACTGCAATGGAACACCAACCAGCAGAACACCACTGAACACCAACACAGCACAGTGGCTGTTCCTTCCATAGGGCACTGAGTGCGTCCCCCATCCCACCCCACGTCCCTCCAACCCCAGCCCTGAAACCCAGGTGTGATACTGGAGCTGCACAACGCACACACCAGAAAGAACAGTAATTGCTTTTTCATTAACAGTAGGGCATTCCCCCCACCCCCACTCTTGGCAGGAAATAATATGGACTGAAGTGACCTACAAGTGAGAAATATCAAATTTTCTTTAACTTCGGGCAGGCTTGGGTGAAGTCACCGAGGTTTCAGTTTCACCTTGAGAAAAAGAGAGAGCTGGGGAGAGGCCCAGAGGAAGCAGCTAAAGAGAAATTTGGGCTTAACCGCAAGGAGCTCACGCTCAGACCTTCTCTCTTTCCCTCCCAGACCCGCTCCCTCCCGGGCCGGGGTGCAGCAGCACAACTATGCAATATATTTGACGTTGCCCATAAAGGATGAAAAACGACCTGCAGAGCAGGAACATTTGGATTTTAATGTTCTGTTTCACATAAAGGCATCTGCAGGGAGCCCAATGAGGAGGCACACTTGAGGAACCACATCAAAGCAGGGGCGACACTCCAGCGTGCCCCCTGAAAACACAGCAACCTGTGGCTATGGGGGAGGAGAAGAGCCCTCCAGGGACAAAAATAAAATAAAAAACCCCCCTTACCTTTTGGTGTGGTTTACATGAAAGCGAGTGCGTTTTCGAATCCTTTGGTAAAATTGCCTCTGTTATACAAGACTATCAATCTCTCGGCTCTCTGCTTAACGTGACAATAAAGTTTAGAAACCAAATGTGTGTTCGTAGCTAGCATTACATTTAGCAATAACACACGAAGCGTTTGCTTCACGTAGCTGGGGCTGCCTCCAAGCACAGCCACCCTCCCTGGCCCGTGCACAGCACTCAGCCAGCAGACACAGCCCAAACACAAACCCTATTTCCAGGCTGATACAAAAGCAAACAGAGCTTCCCCTCTCCAGCCCGTAGCTTCAGGTCATTCGATGCTTGTTGTCACATCCAGACCAGCACTGCCCATTGCACAGCAGAGGAGCTGCTGCTCAGGCTTTGTTGGCTGAATATAGAATCAATTCTTTTTGCTGTTATCTCTCCAGAAACAGAGGATAGAAAGAATTGGGGTGAAAGCAGTTCTAGCATTTTTACATTTGCTTCCCCCAAGCTGTCCACTTTCACACTGCCCGCATGTCCCTCTACCAAATGCCCAACCTTACATGACGTGGCTTTGGGGGTTTGCCATTCAAGTCTGTCCCTCAAGAGTCCTAAATAAGAGAAGCTGTGGGTGCCCGATCCCTGGAGGTGTTTGAGGCCAGGTTGGATGGGGCCCTGTGCAGCCAGTGCTGGTGGGGGCAACCAGCCCATGGCAGGAGGTTGGAGCTCCATGACCTTTAAGGTCCTTTCAACCCAAGCCATTCTGTGATTCCATGTAATACTGATCCCAGTATTTGCCTGTCCATCCCGAAGCTGCAGCACCAAGTTCTGCAAAGCCACTGCAATTCAAGTAAGCCATCAAGACCCCAGTCTAGATGTGCTAAGGGAGAAATCAAATGCATTGGCTTAACGTACTGGGAGCAGAGCTGTCTAAAGCTGCTTGGAACAAAGGGAACCCATCCTTAACCCCACACCCATCCCACACGGCTGGGTTGGAGCACCAAGGCAGCCATGGGCTCCCCGGGCTCTGCCTCCAGAAGCCACACACCAAAAGGGAAAGTTGCTACACCTCCTACACGGTGAATGAGCTCCTTTAAAACTCAATTAGCTTTTTATAGGTTTTTTATGACTTTGTCTTGTTTTCTGCCTCGGTTTGCCAATGTTGACAGTGAGTCTTACCTCCCGTCACCTCCACCCACCAACAAACTGACAATATTTACTTCTTAGAAGAATCTAATTAGCTCTTTCCTGATGAGATGGTAGATAAGGCACAGCAAAAGAGGTTCTATTATTCAGACAAGGTTGCAGTACTGCTGTGGTTGGCTTGGGTGGTTTTGATTACTTACTGAACATTCACTGCCGTGATTGTTTTATGGACCCCTCTAATGGGCTGAGACACAGAACTCTAAAATATCGTTTCACCATATCCCCAGGAATGGGATACATACCCCTTCAACAACATTACAAAAAGCAGACTGGCTACAGGGGAAGAGAGGAGAAAGTTAATAAAAAATGACAGTGCGGCTGGCTCCCCGCCAGAGATCCATTTGAAAGTTATAAAATCCCCCTCAGATCAGATAAAAGCACGCATTATTATTGCAAGGTGTAAACTCAACACGCTGACACAGCTTCTGTTT